GGCAAACCCCTCACAGTGTTCAAGAGAGAACTGGATAAGCACCTCCAAAGGATACCTGATCAACCAGGCTGTGACTCATATGTCAGGCTGCGAGCAGCCGCGTCTAACAGCCTGGTTGATCAGTCCAGCAACCAGGAGGCCTGGTCGACGACCGGGCCGCGGGGACACTAAGCCCCGGAAGCACCTCAAGGTAGCCTCAAGGTATGTCTCTGATTTATTTTGTCTTAGTTTTTTGCAGTAATATTATTCAATAGTGTGTAATGTGATATATTTATATAAAAAATCAGTGAATCACTGCTATACTCAAAATTATTGTGTGCATATTAGGGATTCAATTATTATGTTCATAAAACAATAAACAAATACTTCTGCAGTTATTACACTATATACACAGGTTATATGTAAGTATCTGCATGTTTTTTTCACCATAATGAACCACTAAGTTGGTATGGTGAGTCAAAAAGCAACGAGGAGTGGCAGCCACACCAGCCAGCCACCACTCCTTCCCTCAACACCTCACTAGCCAACATTCTCCTCCCACAATACTGTTTTTGCTTTTATTCACTATATACTGTACAGACGTTATATATAAGTATCTACATGTTTTACTCACCATAACTCTAAAACTAAGCTAGTATGGTAGGTTCAGGCAATATATGAGACGAACAAATCCACAAGGGCCGTGACGAGGATTCGAACCTGCGTCCAAGAGCATCCCAGACGCTGCCTTAAGTGTTATAAAAGAGACGTCGCCACACACACAGGTGACAGCCGGCTCCCTCACTGGTTCAAGGCCAGACTCACTATTCTCCCCCAACAATAATGTTTGCGGTGTTATTACACTACACACATTATACATAAGTATCTACATGTTTTATTAACCATAACTGTTTTATTAACCATAACTGTACAACTAAGCTGGTACAGTATTGTGCCTAAACTGCATGGCGGCCACCCTCTACACAGAATGACAGGTCGTGCAGACGACGCCGCCACCATCGCCCAAATGGCTCCTCCCAACATACTCCTTTAGCTGTTATTACACTAATACACACATTATATATAAGTATATACATTTGTGTTCATCATAGTAAACCACTAAGCTGGTATGATGAGTGCAGACAACAAGTGGCCGCACAGATTCAGCAGACGTTACCACCTCCCTCCCTCCCTCCCTCAGCATTACTCCTCCCACACAGTGCTAAGTACCACCACAATCCTACTATTATCAGAATCCTGGTCATTTTTATCACTCAGGGGTCTCCTGTAATACTGTCATTGCTAAATAATAGCAGTTACATATTTATTTTGATATATTTAGGCGATGTTGTGGTCACAAGCTGAACAGCAGTGCTGTTAGGTCATGCTGCGTGCGCCAGCCTTGGTTGCTCCCACAGTACTGTCCATGGCTCTCACACCGGAGAATGTTGTCCATGATTTTTTTTAAACATTTGTTTAAATAAAACAGGGCTCTTGTTTTTTAAACAAGAGCCCTGAGGAAGCTGACGTGAACCCCGTGTAGCCACGGGCCATTTGAATCGTGGCCGGCACCCTATGTCGTATATGTATGCCATGCGCACGGTGGGACATGTTACTCCAGTCGTATATATATGTCATGCGTAGTTTAAGGATTAAAAGCAATTCTTAAGTTGGAAAGCATAGCATATGCTATTTGCCCAATATCTTTATGTGGTCTTTGGGTGATTATTTTTTTTATCCAGAACCACACCTATATCTCTGTCAGAATTCTTTAAAACTTTTTCCAGTGACAATGAATTGTGACATCACCGGCCAACTTCTCGACCCATAATCCCAGCAAGTCGAGTCCCTTATGCCCAACATCTTCATATGAGCATTAGCAGGGAGGGTGCCTTGCATGTACTGAAACAAAATCTCATGTTGCCTCAGAGCCAAAAAAACTCACATTGAGGATATAGCCTCCCAAACAGGAGGAAAGCTATCTATATCTTGCTATATCTAACAGATATAGCTTGGGAAACAGAGCTTAGAGGAAAGATGGCCCAAAGCCATGATCAGATACATCACGCAGAACTGTAAGGATGCAGCAGACATGTTCGTCCCAGTCCAAAAGGAAAAAATGAAATGTAGACAAGAAACCCATGGTTTAATCAGAGATGTAAGCTAGCAAAGCAACTAAGTACGAGGGCACCGAGAAACTATAGTAATAACAGGACATTAGAGAGACGAGAAAGATACCAGAGTGCCAGGAACGAATATGTCAGAGTGAGAAGAGAAGCAGAGTGACAATATGAAAACGACATAGCGAGCAAGGCAAAGACTCAACCTAAATTCTTGCACAGCCACATCAGGAGAAAAACAGTGAAGGAACAGGTAATAAAATTGAGGGTAGGGACAGGCAGATTCACTACAAATGACGAGGAATTGTACGAAGAACACAATAAGAAATTTCAGGAAGTCTTCACAGAAGAGCATCTTCTGGTGGAAGCCAATAGGTGAACATGACATGAAAGCAATGTCTCTGGCCCAAGAGAAATGCAGGAAGTATAGTACCACAGGGGTCCATTTAGGGATCAACCTTTTTTGTAATATATATCAAAGACAAAGATGAGAATATTACAAACCACATCATCAAATTTGCAGATAACACAAAGGTTTATGGTAGTGGGAAATGTTAATGATGTTGAAGCCTTACAAACAGATCTGCAGGAACTCTATAAATGGTCAGATGACTAAGAAAAGCTTTTTTAATATTGACAAGTGCAAGACCTTGCTTGATACCTGCTTGATGGGGTACCATTCCCCCCAACCACTGGGCATATGGAGAGGTAGTAAGCACACACATTTCCCTACCTTGATACCAACACAAACTAAAATATATAATAAATGATTAGTACAACTTTATGGATATCTGTAAAGATAAGGTCTTCTGACATGATTACTGTTTTACTAATAGATCCTTTACTAGATCCTTTACGCTGGCTTTTCCATTCTATAGAGTGATTTGATTCCGTTTTAAATTTTCATCTTTTCCATAACGAAGCTGGAACTTATTTTCATTAAACATCATATTATTATCTGTGGCCCATTGGAAAACCTGATTTACATATGATTGGAGGTTTGCCATGTCCTCTATAGTGTCTACGTGTACGAAAATCCTAATGTCATCTGCAAATGATGATACAAAGCTTTAGTTTGTATCACTGTCTATGCCTGATATTAGGATAAGAAAAAGTTGATCCAGAAAATTTCTTCAAAGGGTCAGATGTAACACAAATAAAGCATAATGTTTTCAAGCTCAACAAGCCACAATGTAGGACTGAGAGCAGGAGTTGCTTTTTCATCCACAGGATTCCAAGTGCTCAGGTACAGTATGGTAAAATTCCAGGTACTCGGGTACAGTAAAAATGAGAACCTTTTACAGAACCTTGAGAACGTAATACATGGTACAAAACACAATCAAATCTGCCCATAGTAGGAAACCAACATGTTAAGGACTTGAGAATAATGATGTGTGATGACCTAACTTTTAGGGAGTAACCAAGCAAATATTGTGTCAGCCAAAAAATATGACAGGATGGATTACGAGAATTTTCAAATCCAGGGATCCCATCACAATGGTTGTACTATTCAAATCACTTGTGCTGTCCTGTCTTGAGTACTGCTCAGTACTCACTTCCCCCTTCAGAGCAGGAGAGATTGCTGAAATAGAGGGAATACAGAGAACATATACGGCACGCATAGACGGGGTAAAGCACCTAAATTATTGAGATCGTCTCAAAGCTTTCCAAATGTACTCACTAAAAAGGAGCCAAAGTATAAAATAATATACACATAGAAAATACTGGAGGGCCAGGTCCCAAATCTACACAGTAAAATAACAACATACTGGAGTGAACAATATGGAAGAAAATGCAGAATAGAACTAATGAAGAGCAGAGGTGCCATAAGAGCAATCGGAGAACACTGTACAGACATCAGAGGTCCACGGTTGTTCAACATCCTCCCAGCGAGTATATGAAATATTGCCGGAACAACCGTGGACTTCTTCAAGAGAAAACTAGATAGTTTTCTAAAAGAAGTGCCAGACCAATTGGGCTGTGGTGGGTATGTGGGCCTGCGGGCCACTCGAAGCAACAGTATGGTGGACCAAGCTCTCACAAGTCAAGCCTGGCCTTGGGCAGGGCTTGGGGGAGTAGAACTCCCAGAACCCCATCAAGCAGGTATATGTAGGCCTGCGGGCTGCTCCAAGCAACAGCCTGGTGGACCAAACTCTCACAAGTCAAGCCTGGCATTGGGCCGGGCTTGGGGAGTAGAAGAACTCCCAGAACCCCATCAAGCAGGAATATAAACCCATGAACCCGCCTACCCACCAAAGCTGTAAATGCCAAAACTCTTAAATTTGAAGGTACAGCTGGAAAAGATCAGGGCAAATAGGGGGACCTTCAACAAACTGCTGGCTTCCTGTCCTTGTGAGGGCACTAGTGTTAGTGACTCTCGGGGTAAACTCAGGTAGATTCAGATGCACGGTAGTGAAGGTCGGCGGCTGGCCCCAAGAGGCTCTGGATAACTAACCAGTCTACTAACCTGTGACAAGTAAACTCCTGCACTCCACTAACCTAAACAAATCAAAATATAATAACACGTTACCTTGGCATTTGGAGGTGTAGACCTATTGATTTTATACACGGCGTCGCCTGGTAGTCATTCACTACACTGCTCCAAGGCTTCAACAACCACCCAAACATTAGTAATTCTCACTCATTCCTTAACTTTTACCACACTAACCTTAGCTATAACTTAACCTATCCTATCCAGCGCAGACCTAACCAAAATACAAGATAAATGTGTTGTTGTTTGTGTAGAGGCGAGGAGTGACGTCACAGCCGCGCCGAGCTCTGCGCTACTCTTCCAGCCATTAATGGTCTATAAAGTTACTTTTCACATCACAAAGGGATATGATATGGCCGGGTGAGAGTTAGTGTATGGTTGTAGGGTAAGAAGAGGGTAAAAGTACCCACCATGGCCTGGTAATATGGCGTGAGAGAGGAGACAGTTGGTGGAGGCGAGAGGCAGCGGGTCGGGCTTCACAACACACAACCTTCACTACTCCACTAAACTAACACCGCTCAACCTATATATTCACATACTCTAAAAAAAATTTTACTCTCCCTATTAACATTAAATAACCTTAATAATAATAAAGGTTTAACATCAATAAGTTATTAGAATAACGATATTGTATATTCATTTGTGAACGCGCACTGTTGTGGCCTCCTATTACATCACAAATAATATCAATTATAATAATACTAAGAATATGTTATTAATATTACTTTTGTATTAGTATTAAAGAGTAATATATTAGGGGAGTAAGCATAGTGGCCACAACTTGGTGTCAGGCCGTGTATAGTGAAAAATATTTCCACTACGCCTCAGCCAATCATCCAAATTTTCACGAAAAAACTCCAATAAACATAAAGATGATGATGATAATGATGATAATGATGATATAGAGGTGTGAGTACATGTGGGTGTAGGGGAGAGAGAGAGGTGTGGGAGAGGTTGGGTCATAAGAGAGGGTGACAGTGATGGCGGCGGGCGAGGTGCTGGTCCTCCTGCTCCTCTACTTCACACTCTGACTCCTCTGCCTCTCAACACTCTCCTTCCCTCCGTCTTAGGTACGCTCATGACCCTCTTTACATCACACACATGTGTATATGTGCAGGTGTGTACACACGTGGCACACCAGGGGGGGAGGCTTATACGAGTGAGTGATACCTTGACCTGACCCTTGCCCCCCGTGTACTGTAGGTGGATCTTGAGACGTATTGGACGGCGTTGTCTTTATGGTGTGACATCTTCAGACAGTCACGAGACGGTAGTGAGCAGTATTACCCGTCACTCGCCCGTCAGCAAGTGTCGCCGGCGGCTGACATCTTAGACCACCAGCCTCACTAACATCTTGACCACCAGCCTCACTAACATCTTAGACCACCAGCCTCACTAACATCTTAGACCACCAGCCTCACTAACATCTTAGACCACCAGCCTCACTAACATCTTAGACCACCAGCCTCACTAACATCTTAGACCACCAGCCTCACTAACATCTTGACCACCAGCCTCACTAACATCTTAGACCACCAGCCTCACTAACATCTTAGACCACCAGCCTCACTAACATCTTGACCACCAGCCTCACTAACATCTTAGACCACCAGCCTCACTAACATCTTGACCACCAGCCTCACTAACATCTTAGACCACCAGCCTCACTAACATCTTGACCACCAGCCTCACTAACATCTTGACCACCAGCCTCACTAACATCTTAGACCACCAGCCTCACTAACATCTTAGACCACCAGCCTCACTAACATCTTAGACCACCAGCCTCACTAACATCTTGACCACCAGCCTCACTAACATCTTAGACCACCAGCCTCACTAACATCTTAGACCACCAGCCTCACTAACATCTTAGACCACCAGCCTCACTAACATCTTGACCACCAGCCTCACTAACATCTTGACCACCAGCCTCACTAACATCTTGACCACCAGCCTCACTAACATCTTAGACCACCAGCCTCACTAACATCTTAGACCACCAGCCTCACTAACATCTTGACCACCAGCCTCACTAACATCTTAGACCACCAGCCTCACTAACATCTTAGACCACCAGCCTCACTAACATCTTAGACCACCAGCCTCACTAACATTACTAACATCTTACACCAGTAACTGTAGTACACCTGCAGGGGAAACTGCAGTACACCTGCAGGGGAAACTGCAGTACACCTGCAGGGGAAACTGCAATACACCTGCAGGGGAAACTGTAGTACACCTGCAGGGGGAAACTGTAGTACACCTGCAGGGGGAAACTGCAATACACCTGCAGGGGAAACTGCAATACACCTGCAGGGGAAACTGTAGTACACCTGCAGGGGAAACTGTAGTACACCTGCAGGGGAAACTGCAGTACACCTGCAGGGGAAACTGTAGTACACCTGCAGGGGAAACTGTAGTACACCTGCAGGGGGAAACTGTAGTACACCTGCAGGGGGAAACTGTAGTACACCTGCAGGGGGAAACTGCAGTACACCTGCAGGGGGAAACTGCAATACACCTGCAGGGGAAACTGCAATACACCTGCAGGGGAAACTGTAGTACACCTGCAGGGGAAACTGCAGTACACCAGCAGGGGAAACTGCAGTACACCTGCAGGGGAAACTGCAGTACACCTGCAGGGGAAACTGCAATACACCTGCAGGGGAAACTGCAGTACACCTGCAGGGGAAACTGCAGTACACCTGCAGGGGAAACTGCAGTACACCTGCAGGGGAAACTGTAGTACACCTGCAGGGGAAACTGTAGTACACCTGCAGGGGAAACTGCAGTACACCTGCAGGGGAAACTGCAGTACACCTGCAGGGGGGAACTGCAGTACACCTGCAGGGGGAAACTGCAGTACACCTACAGGGGAAACTGTAGTACACCTGCAGGGGGAAACTGCAGTACACCCGCAGGGGGGGAAACTGCAGTACACCTGCAGGGGGAAACTGCAGTACACCTGCAGGGGAAACTGCAGTACACCTGCAGGGGAAACTGCAGTACACCTGCAGGGGAAACTGCAGTACACCTGCAGCGGAAACTGCAGTACACATGCAGGTGAAACTGCAGTACACCTGCAGGGGAAACTGCAGTACACATGCAGGGAAAATTGCAGTACACCTGCAGGGAAAATTGCAGTACACCTGCAGGGGAAACTGCAGTACACCTGCAGGGTAAACTGCAGTACACATGCAGGGGGGGGAACTGCAGTACACCTGCAGGGGGGAAACTGCAGTACATCTGCAGGGGGAAACTGCAGTACATCTACAGGGGGAACTGCAGTACATCTGCAGGGGAAGCTGCAGTACACCTGCAGGGGGGAAACTGCAGTACACCTGCAGGGAAAGCTGCAGTACACCTGCAGGGAAAGCTGCAGTACACCTGCAGGGAAAAACTGCAGTAAACATGTCTGACACCATATTGGAATCTGACCCAACTGTCACTTAGGTCAACCCATGTATCTTATTCCAAAAATGTGGAACCATGTTGGAAGAGACGAATGCTCAAAGAATATTGCTGATCTTGATAACATATTAAACAAAAATTATATATGTATCCTCACATAATTATAGGTTAGGGTTGGATTAGTTGAGTGTAACATGGTTGCACATGTTTTGAATGATAGATGGGTTGACCCAACTGATACTTGGGTCAGATTTCAATATTTATTTATGTATTAATTCATTCATTCATTCATTTATTCACTCATTCATTCATTCATTCATTGACACTTAAGGTTTTGCATTCTTGCAAAGCCACTAGTACGTATAGCGTTTCGTGCAGATCCTTAATCTAACATAATTTTAAGAAGGTAATTTCTAGTAAAATTAAAAAAATATATTTACAGGTACATTGTAAGAAAGTATAAAAAGTACATTGTAAGAAAGTATAAAAAGTACATTGTAAGAAACTATAAAAAGTACATTGTAAGAAACTATAAAAAATACATTGTAAGAAAGTGTAAAAAGTACACTAAAAAAGTACAGTATAAAAAAATACATTGTAAGAACGTATAAAAAATACATTGTAAGAAAGTATAAAAAATACACTGTAAGAAAGTATAAAAAAATACAGTACATTGTATTAAACATTTGACAGAAAAAAAAGTAGGTACGTTACAGTAAATTTAAGGGGGTTTCAACTGCACATCTACATCATTAATATGGTTTGAAACTTAACTGCAGCACAACTACAGTGGAAACTGCAGTACAACTACAGTGGAAACTGCAGTACAACTACAGTGGAAACTGCAGCACAACTACAGTGGAAACTGCAGCACAACTACAGTGGAAACTGCAGCACAACTACAGTGGAAACTGCAGTACAACTACAGTGGAAACTGCAGCACAACTACAGTGGGAACTGCAGCACAACTACAGTACAACTACAGTGGGAACTGCAGCACAACTACAGTGGGAACTGCAGTACAACTACAGTGGGAACCGCAGCACAACTACAGTGGGAACTGCAGCACAACTACAGTGGAAACTGCAGTACAACCACAGTGGAAACTGCAGTACAACTACAGTGGGAACTGCAGTACAACCACAGTGGAAACTGCAGTACAACCACAGTGGAAACTGCAGTACAACTACAGTGGGAACTGCAGCACAACTACAGTGGGAACTGCAGCACAACTACAGTGGGAACTGCAGCACAACTACAGTGGGAACTGCAGCACAACTACAGTGGGAACTGCAGCACAACTACAGTGGGAACCGCAGCACAACTACAGTGGGAACTGCAGCACAACTACAGTGGGAACTGCAGCACAACTACAGTGGGAACTGCAGCACAACTACAGTGGGAACTGCAGCACAACTGCAGTGTGAACTGCAGCACAACTGCAGTGGAAACCGCAGCACAACTACAGTGGGAACTGCAGCACAACTACAGTGGAAACCGCATTACAACTACAGTGGGAACTGCTGCACAACTACAGTGGGAACTGCAGCACAACTACAGTGGGAACTGCAGCACAACTACAGTGGGAACTGCAGCACAACTACAGTGGAAACCACAGCACAACTACAGTGGAAACCGCATTACAACTACAGTGGGAACTGCAGCACAACTACAGTGGGAACTGCAGCACAACTACAGTGGGAACTGCAGCACAACTACAGTGGAAACCGCAGCACAACAGAGGAAACTGCAGCACAACTACAGTGGGAACTGCAGCACAACTACAGTGGGAACTGCAGCACAACTGCAGTGGGAACTGCAGCACAACTACAGTGGAAACCGCAGCACAACAGAGGAAACCGCAGCACAACTACAGTGGGAACTGCAGCACAACTACAGTGGGAACTGCAGCACAACTACAGTGGGAACTGCAGCACAACTACAGTGGAAACCGCAGCACAACAGAGGAAACCGCAGCACAACTACAGTGGAAACAGCAGCACAACTACCTTACCTTGAGGTGTTTTCGGGGCTTAGCATCCCCAAGGTACAGTCATCAACCAGGCCTCCTCGTTGCTGGACTGGTCAACCAGGTTGTTGGACGCGGCTGCTCGCAGCCAAACGTATGACTCACGACGCTACGAGTACGACACCACCCCCCTCACCAAAATGGCTCCTCCCAACATACTCCTGATGCTGTTTTTACACTATATACACATGTTATATATATACAAGTACATTATCTACGTTTGTGTTCAGCATAGCGAACCACTAAGCTAGTATAGTGAGCCCAAACAAGAGTGACGCTACCTCGATTCCCTCCCTCCTCACCAATATTCCTCCTCCCACAGTACTGTACTATGCGTAGCACTAATTATCAGCACATTCCTGCTATTATCACAATCCTGGTCACTAAATCCTGTAAATGAATAATTTACCACAAATTTATTTAGTAAAGGAACATAAGAAGTCATTTGAAGATTCCTAGATGGACAAAATAATGCTGTGGCTAGCGCTGTGAACATCTTGAACAGCATTGATTCGCTTATATTTGAACATTGTACTCGGTCATTATCACACTCGGGCTCTTCTGTAATACTATCATGGTTGAATAATACCAGTCACATATATATTTTGACATTATTAGGCGATGCTG